ACTCCTGAGATGTCTAACCAACCGGGAGGCTGAGCGAGTCATAGCGGAGGTCCACGAAGGCGTATGCGCGGCGCATCAAATGTCCCGTACGCTTTCCCAGCGCATCATCTTGTTGGGGTATTACTGGCCAACAATTGTACAGGATTGTGAAAGGTACGTCCAGAAATGCAGGACGTGCCAAGTATTCTATAAGTATCCCGGTAGACCGGCGACCTACTACCACCCCGTATCGAATGTCATCCCATTCGCTAGATTCGGGGTTGATATCATTGGAGCCTTCCCAGTCGCCCAAGGAAGGAAGAAGTTTGTAATCGTAGCCATCGATTACTTCACCAAGTGGATCGAGGCCGAAGCATTGGCCAGCATTACCACGCAACAATGCAAGAAATTCATTTGGAAGAACATCATCACAAGGTTTGGAGCGCCCATGAACCTCATCACCGACAACGGCCCACAATTCCGAAATCCAAGATTCACCGAATACTTGGAGGGCTTCGGGATCAAGCACAATCGCTCTTCGGTGGCGTATCCCCAAGGAAATGGCCAAGTCGAAAACGCCAATAGAACTATTGTAGATGGTTTGAAGAAACGGTTGGGAGAAGCAGGAAGCAAGTGGCTGGAAGAGCTCCCACACATCGTATGGGCATTTCGAGTAACACCTAGGAAAGCTCATGGGGAAACTCCATTCTCCCTAACCTATGGGTGTGAAGCAAGGCTACCCATCGAAGCTGAATTCCCAACGTTCCGGGAATCAAATTATAAACCCCAACAAAATGAGGAAGATCACTTGGCCGAACTCAACTTGGTCGAAGAGCGGAGAATGGCCGCGGAAGTCAAAATGAGCACATACCAACAAGTGGTGAAGAAGTACCATGATAACAAGGTTGGGCCGCGGTACTTCCAAGTTGGGGATGAAGTCCTACGAAGAAGAGAAGCAAGTAGACCCGGCGACGGAGGAAAGCTAGCCAAAAACTGGGAAGGGCCTTACCGGGTGAGAGCTATCATTCGCCCGGGGACCTACCGGTTAGAAACTCTTGAAGGGGTACCGGTAGAAAGAACCTGGAATTCCCATCATCTTCGCAAGTTCTACAAATGATTGTAATACTAGGCAAGGCCTACTTTATTATCAATCAAACCGATGATGTTCAATACTCTATTTGGTAGCGGCAGGATTGATAGGTCGAACCTATCCTAGGAGGGCTTCCAGGGTGGATCGAATCCACTTGGATAAGCCGACTGAGACACAGGCCCGGACCTGGCACGCTGGTTACTACACCGGTCTTGCTCAGTATAATAGAAAAAATATCAAAACTCGGAAGAGGGGCCCGGAAGAGGGTATGCCCATTAAAACAAATAGAAGGGGATCGTCCACCGTGGCGCATCCTATATCCCCCTTCTCAGGGAAGACTTGAACGGGGGGGTGAGCTAAGGCCTTCCCGGGATGGTAGAAATCAAAGGGCCATTAAAAGACTTAATCACCCGGAAGAGGGGGCCCTGGAAGAAGGGTGCATTTGAACCTTGGAGAGGGTTCGAAACCATTCGACATGGTTAAATCTCCAGTATTCTTACCGGTTAAGGATACTTCAAGAATTTCTAGGTTACAGGTGTTTCCATCTACAACCTACCGATAAAAAAATAAAAAAAAGAGAATACCCCGGTCGGGTATGGGCACGACAGAACTTCGAAAGTTCTACGTCCATCGGAAGGCAAGGCAGTTGACCGGTCAAACCATGGAGTTGGAATTCACCGGTCAAATTAAAGAATTTATGAAGCTATCCAAAATGCGAAAGTAAAGTTCGGCCGGTCAAACTTTTTAAGTTGGCCAAAATGATGAAGACGTTCGAAAAGCAAAAATGGGGGTCTGACCGGTCAAAGTTACTTGAGCTAATCCTTCAGATGAAGTAATCAAAGAGAAACTTTGAAGTTCCACCGGTCGAAAACAATTGAGAAGTGGCCTAATTTATGTACCGGTCAGAATTTCTATGATGGTATTCTAAGGAGCAAGATCAAAAAATAAATCAAACAAGCAATCAGACGTGGAAGATTAACCGGTATGAAAAGAAAACATGGCATTCAAACGAAATAAGAATGTTAAATGTTTTACAGCTACACCGGGCATCCCCGGGGAAATTTCAAGTTGAGGTTTTTACAAAAACAACCGGGCACAACCGGGGAGATCCTAGTCTAAGGGAAAAGGGGGAGTGGGCTCTTCCTCTGGGATTGGGGCCAGGCCATAGGATGCAGCGCTGAAGTTTGGATCTCTTCTGAGCAGTACCTGGTGAGAGGCGATCTTGTCCTTCTTTTGACCGCTCTTGAATCCGAAGGATCCAATCGCGGTAATCATCTTCTTTCCTTCAGGCTCCCGGTACAGAAGCCTGAAGGACTCCATCGTCGTCTCTGGAGTCGCCGTCATCACCCGGGCAGCTTCAGCCTTATTCTCTTCCACCCAGGCAGCTGCGCGCCCGGGGAAGGTTTCTTCCTTCTCCGCTACTTCCCTCTTGGCTTCAGAGACTTCATCCAGGAGCCGGCCATTCTCCTCCTTCAATTGGGAGATCTCGGTCTTCATTGCCCCGGCCAGCCCAGACAGTCGGATGAGCTCATCAGCCTGGCTCCTCAGGATGAGTGCCATCTCTTCTTTC